GGTCCTCTTCCTCGGAGGCTGCCACCTGAAACCGTTGTGTTTCTACAGTAGCCCTCATATTCAAATGGTTAGAATCTGCAAATAAGCATGAATTACGTGTAATTGTTGTGCTTCTTCTTTAGAAGCTGTCATCAAACATAGGGTCACTGTTTGGTCCAGTGTTTCCTCTATATTCAGGAGTGGTGGGACAGGTCCTCCTCTATGGAGTCCACCATGTTGGACCACCATGTTTCTACAGTAGCCCAGAACGTACAAACCAAACAATGGTTCTAGATTTTCATTTTTCTGCAGCCCCTGTAGTTTCTCCTACACACTTGTATCAGGTGGGTGAGGCGAGGGCTTTACAATCAGCAACTACACAGCTACTGCCACTAAATCCTACACACTAGTCCTTTAATTGATTATCAAGATAGTTGTCTGTTCATTTTCTGTTGACTGACTAATCAAAACCAAATGTTTCAGCTCTGAACTTCACCTTGGGCGCTGGGGAATTGTGTTAGTTGCATCCCAGTTCTCTGTTACAGTATATGCACCTTGAGTCTCATAATGTTTTGATCCAGCACATTGACCAGAGAGGTCATAGAGTGAACTGGATCCAAAGTTGTGTTTTTATACACCAAGAAGCTTGTGAAAAATCTTACGTTTCAGCAATGAAAGTTTCTCAGATTTCCTTCTTTATTCTGTGGCGCTAATGAGAGGTTTCCTTTGAACTACCAGATACCAAATTTGGGTTCTGTAAATCTAGTTATTTACATAAATCGGGGCTGCAGTTTGCATGTAAACACGGATGTAAACAGTCAGTAAGTGGGTGAGGGAGTGAAAGCCAGACGGTAAACTGTGGTGAATGTGTCCTCGATGAATCAGCATATGAAGGGTTGATGATGGGACTGTGCTGTTCAGTAGGAGTAATTAATGGTAGCTATAATGAATGGCTGACATATTGATGAGTGTTTTAACTGCAGAAAGAATGTCTGTCAAACTATAATGTGCCGTGTATATACAGTTTATCCTGATGCTGGATAGTTACACACAACATTAGCACTGTGAGTGACGGTGTGGACGTGGTTTGTGGAGGGGGGGGTTGGGGGCAGGCAGACTAGAATAGCCTCTGGCTCACTACTACATTCATGCTCACACTACTACAAATGCACTCAATTGACCCACATCACGCACAGATAGAGGGAAAATTAGGTGGTGGGGCCAACAGAGGAAGGAAACAGAGATCACCTGACACTACCAGAGAACAGGTTTCATGACTAATCTGAGGTTCGTTGGGTTATAGTTCACTAGGTTCACTAGAGACTGAGTACTAATGGAAGGAGATTGTAGATAGGTTGTATTTGTTTAATGAAAACTAAGTCCTGAACTAGGACAGGCAATTGGAAATGTAAAGTACTCCCATTTATTAATCTTAAGTATCCTTTTACATTGATTTCAAATGCATTTAATTTTTCAGCTCGTTGACCACAGCACAGTTTCCTCTGTAATTGTTTTGTAGAAGTGGTGGCAGGGGGTCATTTATTGTTAGCTATTAGTGGCTATTTCACCCTCTTTTATGAAATGAATAGCATAAAAATATAAGTACTCAAAGAAAGTACAATGACCTCAAAAATTGTACTTGATTACAGTACTTGAGTACGTGAAATATAAATTGTAACACATATTGTTCAAGGTCAAGAATGAAATTCAGTACTCAAGTTTAAAAACATCAAGTACAAAAACCCTTAAAAAATTGTTTAAACTAAGTTAAAGTTTATATCTTCATTGCTGATCATTTAAATATTGTTAATGCATTTAAATTCTGAGAAATTATTAGTCCATATTATTAGGTGAAGTTTATAAAGTTGGTCTGAAGCAACACTGGTCCATAATACTGGTGTTGTAAGCAGCAGAACAGACCTTTTTCACTGCAGAACATCATGTCATGTAATAGTAGGATAAACACAGCTGTTACCAATTATACTAATTCAAGTTCCTTTTAGAGTAGCAGAGTGTTTATAGTGAGACAATGTGCACAACAGCAGGTTGACCTGAAAGGAACCGAACCTCAATTTACTGGGTCTTCTTCCTGCAGCTTTGGTAACCCACCCAAAGAGTTAAAGGTCCAGTGTGTAACATTAAGGGGGATCTATTGGCAGAATATAGAATATAATATCCATATGTATGTTTTTATTAGTGTATAATGAATGAAAATAAGAATGTTTTCGTGACCTTAGAATGAGCTGTTTGTATCTACAGCTAGAGAGTGGGTCCTCTCACTTGGAGCCTTCCACCTGGAACCGTTGTGTTTCTACAGTAGCCCTCGTATTCAAATGGTTGTAATCTCCAAATAATTATTAATTATGTCTAATTGTTATGCTTCTTCTTTAAAGCAAACATTTACGGTCACTGTTTGGTCCAGTGTTTCCTATATACTCAGGGGTGGTGAACCACCAGTAAACACATTACCACCACAGCAAGATAAAATGGGAAATTGAACAATATTGTCTACATAATAACAAAACAACAACATACAAAATGCATAGAATAGGCCTTATTAATTTTTATGATTTAATATCAGTGCTGCAACCACTTATAGCACTGCAACAATATGCACCCAACATTGAAAACATAAATGTGAGTGAAATAACGTTTGGTTTTAGGGTATTTTAACGTTTGTTACAATAAATAATAATAATAAAAATACCAACCATTTTGTTTTAAACCAGCTCTGTCATAAAGCCTTACAATGCCACTGCTCACCAGCTTCTTCTTTTTTTTTTTTTACCTTATTAATGTTATTTTGGTCAAATACAAGTTTTAAAAGATGACTTCTCAAAAAACACACACAAAAAAAGACTTTTTCATCACAATGGATGAAGAAACGTGTGTTACCTTCAGGTGTTACCTTCAGGGACCTTGGGAGACAGACTGGGCGGCTAGGTGGAACCAACGAACATATAAAGATATTTATTTATTTATTTATATTATATTTTATACGTCTATAGGTGGAACCAACAGACATATAAAGATATTTATTTATTTATTTATTTATTTATTTATTTATTTATATTATATTTTATACGTCTATAGGTGGAACCAACAGACATATAAATATATTTATATTTATTTATTTATTTATATTATATTTTATACGTCTATAGGTGGAACCAACAGACATAATAAAGATATTTATATTTATATTTATTTATATTATATTTTAT